TGCTGCCTTTTCTGTTCTCTTTCTTTAACTAGTTTTTTGTGTTTGTTTTTGGTCTTTTTTGTTTGTTAACACTTTTCTGGCATATGAAATATGTTAGTAATGTAACTTAAAAATGCACTCTCGTGGCTTACCTAGGTTTATTTCATAAGAAATCTTCTATGTTCATGCAAGCAACCTCAGTTAAACTTTCACGTATGCCCACAAAGACACCAAAGTTAGTTTTGGGTTTAAGACAGGGTTTGTCTGTAGATCAGACTGACCTCAAACTCAGAGAGAGCTGCCTGCCTTTGCCTCCCGAGTGCTGGGATTAAAGACCTGTGACACCACTGCCTGGCTGACATCAAAGATGAAAAGAAGGGGTTCAGCGGGGGTACAAGTAGGGTAAGAGAAAGTAGTTGGGGGTTATACATACCAGAATTGCTTCAAGTATGGTATTATGAAAGAGATGTCATAGATTGTGCAGGTTTAGGGAGTATTTCCTCTGCTTTGTCTATCTAATATTTTAGTCTCTACCTTCTAAATATCTGTAGGCAAGTGTGCTTGTTTCTCTTTGGAAAGTACTGTTTCCTTGCCTCCCTCGTCCCCTGCCTTCTGTTGTGTCAGACTTAAAAGCTGGGCCAGATGTGGTCATGAAATTCCAGAGAGGAGGGTGACGGAAGTGGTGAATGTTTCCTAAGTGCTCAAGTTATTTGAGAGAATCCCCCTGCCTCCCCCCCCCCCCAACCTCTTTCAACTGCTGTACTGTATCCTTTAAAGGGCTTCTTTCTGCTGGTAGTCTTGCTGTGGCTCACATGCTAGCTAAGAAACCATAGTGGGACACACAAATATGATTTCACTAATCCTAACTTAAAATACACTGTAGGAAATACCCTTTAGAAAGAATTATGAGTTCTTGGTTGCAAAGGACAGAAAGTGTCTTTAACTTAATCAGAAAGAAAGAAAGCTTCTTAGGAAGTTCCTATCTTGGAAAGACATGTAGGAAACATGGAATGTCTAGGAGCTATTAGGGGCTGCAGTCTGCTTAGGTCACTTGCTATGCATGCTTCTCCTGCCCTGCCAACATCCTGAAGAATCTGTTCTCCTATACCTTGCTTCTAGTTCTGTAGGTTTCAGCATCTAACACAGAAAGTTAGGAAAGAAATACTTGCTTCTGATTTCCTGTAGTGTTTGCTGACTGGTCAGATCTTTGGAGCTGTGTCTACACATAGAAAAAAACATTGTGTTTTTGTTTTTAATATTATTTATTCAATTTTGTGTGTGTGTGTGTGTGTGTGTGTGTGTGTGTGTGTACTCTTGGACTTTTCAGCTTCCAGAGCTATGAATAGTTAATTTCTGTTGTTTATAAATTACCAAATCTAGTTGGGCATGGTGTGTACATTTGGTGGTTATGTGTTGGCTTTCTTTTCAACTTACTATATTTTCTTTTTGAGATTGTTTTCCCCTTTATTATTTCTGTGAACTCTAAAACGTAAGGAAACCACTTTGATTCCTTTTGTAGACATGACTTTATAATGCCTTTCTGGTCTTTTTTTTTTTCACTTTTTAAAATTATATATATATATTTTTTAAAAAAACAAACTATCTTTTTTCATTTTACATACTAATCCTGGTTCCCACTCCCTCCTTTCCTCCCATTCCCTACACCTTTCCCCCACTGCACCCCCGTCCACTCCCCAGACAGGGCAAAGCACTTTGCTCCAAGGAAGGACCAAGGCTTTTTACTATATCCAGCCTGAGCAAGGTATCTATCCAGAGAGAATGGGTTCCAAAAAGCCAATACAAGCAGCAAAGACAAATCCTGGTGCCACTGCCAGTGGACCTGCAGTCTGCCCCAGCCAGAAAACCCACATTTAGAGGGTCTAGCTTTGTCCTATGCTGGTTCCTTCCCTGTCCGGCTGGAGTTGATAAGCTCCCCTTAGCTCAGATAAGCTGTTTCAGTGGGTGTCCCCACCATGGTCTTGACTTCTTTGCTCATATTCTCCCTCCTCCCACTCTTCAGCTGGACTTTGGGAGCTCAGCCCAGTGCTCCGGGGTGGGTCTCTGCCCCTGTCTTCATCAGTTGCTGGATGAAGGTTCTATGGTGACATTTAAGATAGTCATCAATCTGATTACAGAATGCCCTTTCGTTCTATGACATTAGATTCAGATAAGCGTTGATTACAAAAATTGATGCGTTATCTTTTGTTCAGAATTACTGATTGCTAACTTTGCTTTAGTAATGTATATACAGAATAGGTATATATTGGTTTTTCTCTACAGGGTCTCTCTGTAGCCCTGGCTATCCTGGAACTCACAGAGACCCACCTGCTTCTGCCACCCCAGAGCTGGGATTAAAGGTGTGTGCCACCACCTCCCAGCTGCTATTTTTCTTTTCTTTTTGGTCTTAAAAAATTTGTTGCAAAAGAATTCATTACAAAAGAGAATCCTAGAGAGTCTTACCAAATCCATAGCATTGTTATTATGGTCGCTGCTGCTTTCTTTTTTGAGATAGTGTCTCACTCTAGTCCTGTCTGACTTCAAACTCATTACATAGACCTGGCTGTCTTCTGTGCGTTGTGTTTACAAGTGTATTGTGATAACACGCATTCACCATGTCACTCAATGGGCTTTTTTTTTCTTCAAGTAATCAAAGTATGTCTTCATGTTTTGTCTTTTTAAAAATAATAGCATTTTCTTTCTCTATCTTAAAAAAATTAGAATAGTTTAAAGTTGCCCTATGGACTTACAGTTAAATCCTTGCTATAGTCTTTCTTTTAGGTTTGGTTGTAAATTCACAGGCTGTTGATGAGATGAAGCATTTGAAATGTTTTACAGATTGGTATCGTATCTCACTATGCCAGTATTTCCTTCCTTGTCTGACGTGAACTCTAAAATTACACGAACACTTTCTCCCTGTTTCCTGATAGTTCCAGAGTTGTAGTTTCCTTTAAAAAAAAAATTCTCTGTGAAAGAAAACTGACCAAGCATTTCAATATTTTTTTAAAAAAGAAAAAAAAAACTGCAGTAGTTAAAAGGTATAAAGTTCCTAATATTTTGCTGTGTTTTTCTCCTAGTTTTATATTGTCCCAAGGATATACCCACTCTGTTACATGATTAGGACACAAGTATGTTGTGTCATACTGTTTAATTTTCTTTTTTTTTTTTGAAAACAGATTTTTTTTATATAATATATTCTGTTTATGGTTCCCCTCCCCCAACTCTTCTCAGTCCCTCTCATTCAAATTCACACCCTTTCTCTCTCTCATTAGAAAACAGAGACATCTAAAAAGTAGTAGAGTAAAATAATACGAAAGTCAACAAACTAGAATAGGACAAAACAAACAAACAAAAAATGAAGAGAAAGAGCCAAAGGAAAACACAAGCAACACATAGACTCAGAAACACACTCATTTGCTCCCACAGAAACCATAGAAACACCAAGCTGGAAACTCTAATATATCTGCAAAAGATCTATGTTCTCTATTTTAGTTTATTCACAAGCCTGCCCTCAGTTCTATAAATCTCACTGTGCTTGAGCACATTTTCTCTCTCTCTCTCTCTCTCTCTCTCTCTCTCTCTCTCTCTTTCTTTCTTTCTTTCTTTCGCTTTTTGTCGTGTCACACACAGACACCCAACCCCCAGGGTTTCTTCTTGTAGCCCTGGTTGTTGGTTATCAGGAACTCTGATCTGCCTGCCTCTGTCTTCTGAGGGCTGGGATTAATGTGCGCCACCACTGCCGGCCACTGGGGTTGAGCACATTTGATGCTCATCAGTCTCTCCCTCTCCTGGAGTTTCCTCCTGATCTGCTTGATTGTGAACTAATGGTTTCCTTTTCTAGCCTGTCTGAGATGCCCCTTACCATTCTTCTTGGGATTCTCATTTCTTCTCTTTCAAATGGGCTTCCCCAATTTCTAGAACCTATCATCACCTTTCCATGATTTTCTACTTTCACTCAGCATTTTTTACAACTTCCTGTGACAGTGTATGGAAAACAGGAGGACTTGTAGCTTAACCAATGCTTGTATTATCTACTCACCGTGGTTTATAGTCTGTCTTGGTACAGCGTTCTAGGCTGGAAGTAGTTTTTCCTGAAGATCAGACTTAGTGTAGTTATTTTTAGAAGCTGGTGCTGTTAATGGTAGTATCTTTGCCTTTTTGTTTTTATGCTATTTCTTTTCTAGCAGATTTTGGGGTCTTGTGATATTTTTGGCATTTTTAAATTACATAAAGATATGTGTGTTTCTTTTAAGTCAATTTTATTGACTTTATTTATTCCTTCATCTTGATAAACTCATGTTGGGCCTGATTAACTGGTAGAATGCTTTTCTAACATGCATGAGGCTCTAGGTTTAATCCCCAGACCTGCATAAAACCAGTTTGGTGACACATACTTGTAATCCCAGTATTCCAGGGATGGAGGGATGGGGGCATGGTCAGAAGTTCAGGTTTATCTACCACCACCACCACCAAAAAAAAAAAAAAAAAAAAAANNAGTACATTATTGGGGCTGGAGAGATGGCTCAGAGGTTAAGAGCTTTGCCTGCTCTTCCAAAGGTCCTGAGTTCAATTCCCAGCAACCACATGGTGGCTCACAACCATCTGTAATGAGGTCTGGTGCCCTCTTCTGGCCTGCACCACAGACAGAATAAATAAATAAATATTAAAAAAATTAAAAAAAAAGAGTACATTATTGCTTATGCTTTTTGTGGTAATCTGTATGAGCTGGGTGCACATGGGAATTGCTAAGATTGCATTTTCAAGACATTATTATTAATTTATTAGGCTGAAGACAGAAGAGATGAAAATAGTTTTTGATATAGTCGGTTCTACTTCAGATTGTATAAATCTATGTAATGTAATGATTATTAATAAATAACATGAAATTGGAGAGGATATGCATTTGGGTTGTTAATAGTATTTGAGATTGGAGAATATCAAATGTTTTAGTTCTTAATATTATTGTAATTTGAAATGTTAGCTCATTTTTGTTAATGGTGGCTTTTTGTTTGTTTTGTTTTAAGGTTTTTGGATTCAAAACATAAAAACCATTACAAGATATACAATCTGTAAGTATGTTTTCTTATTTGTATGTATGCTAAAATAGCTAAGTAAAAGTTATTTCTTTGTTGGAGTTAAAAATATATTTGAATAGCACTGGATTCCTCAAATAGTTGAAGTCCGATAGAGAGGGTTGTTGAATCTAGAAAGTGTGGTAGAGCTGCAGCAGTGCTGGCAGATTCATGCTACTTGATCTGCCTTAAAAGACTTGGCATCTAGCCCATCCTTGAGCCCATAATCATGTGATAATTTGAAATGTAATCCACAGCAGAGCTGCTGTTAATGTTAATGATGGCTTCTGTGGAGGCAGACTCCAGGGTGGACAGACTTTGTGTCCTCTGTGCTTGTTGGTCAATTGAAACAGCTATTTGAATATTCTTTGTGTATAATCTAAAGAAGTTACCCAGCATTGTTTAATTGTCTGGTGTAGGATTTTAGGGATTTTCCTTTAGAAATTGTAGACTTGTCTTTAAACCTGTGCTTTCTTTTGACTTTTGGAGTAAAGATGTGAAAAAGAGAAAGGAAAAAAGAAAAAAAAGCATTAAACATTTTTGTCTTTGAACACCTTTCTTATTTTCCCCAAATACTGAGCATTTTTTTAATTTTAAAAGTTGTATAAATTATCATTTCTCTATATGCCTTTTGACTTATATCTATAATTTATACAGCAGGGGAATTTTATGCATTGTTAAATACCTATTAGCAATTTTTATTTTCTATAGACTTTATCAAGTATAAGCGCAAGTATTCTCCGCTTCCAGTGGGCATTTGATTGGGGGGGGGGGTCTGTTGAGACAAGGTTTTTCTAAGTAGTCTTGACTGTCCTGGAACTTGCTCTGTAGACCTGGCTGGCTTCGAACTCACAGAGATTTGCCTGCCTCTGTCTCCCCAGTGCTGGAATTGAAGGTGTGTTACCACCATTGTCTGGCAGGCATTTGAATTTTTATCCAGAGGATTTTCTGTGCCTTGTTAAATTGCTGAATGTTGTTATTTTTCTTTCAATCTTTAATAATATTTTTATTTTGATAAGAGTTAGCAGTATTGATGTGCAGTAGTCAATATTGTTTTTTGTAGTTTTTGTTGACTTCAGATTCAGAAAGGTGGAGCCCTTTAGTTAGGGGCATCCCTTTAGTCATCATAAAATATATAGCTATAGTGCTCAGAAGGATACTTTCAGTCCTCAAGTGGCATATAGTTAATGTGAAAGTTAAGCTGAGTATTATAGGACTGAGCAGTGGAAGCTGTAGACATAGGAACTGGGCCCCATAGGAAAGTTTTGTAAAGGGCGGGATGTTTAAGATGTGATTACTTCTGATACCTTCTTTGTTCTCCTCCTCCCTGTTACACACCTGGTTTGGAGTAGACAAGCTAACAACACCAGGAGTTTGCTTTCTTTCAATTTTAGGGCTGCAGTTATATGTGCTATATCTTTCATTGCATATACATACATTTGAAGATCTTGAAAAATTTCAATTAGGCTTTTCTGCTAATCAAAATCCATAGGGGTTATCTATTAGGCTGAGGAGTGTAGAGCATGGCAAGTGGTCTTTGAGATATGGAGATAAATTGTTTTTGGCAGGTGGTGGTTTTTGCTGGCTTAGGTGGGGTTATAATAATAAAAGGTGCGTAGGACAGCCACAAAACTGTGTGTTGAACAGCTGCATTGGGAAGCTGACTAAAAAAAGGACAAGAACTGTTGAAAGCTGGAATTCATTAAATGAATCATTTCGGACTCGCACTGTCAGGACTGGAGATTTAGAGTCCCAGTAGGGAAGTAGAAAGACACTAGAAGACACGTTTTGCCTGTGTTGAAATTTTATGCCTGTTTGACATATCCAAAGAACAGGGAGGAAATTCTTTTCATTCCCGTGTATAGTGGCTTCCTGCTTCTAGAATTTAGGGATTAGGTTTATGCTATCTCCTTTGTTCTATTTTAAAATGGTTAAAGGTGACCTTCAGTCAGAGCCTAGAAACTGACTCCCTGTTTCTAAGCATTTGATTTGCAATTTAAGGAACTATCTCTTTTTTTTAGGTGAGAATAACCTTTAGTGCATATTAACTTATTCCCATGTCACCTGTACAGAGGCTTTCAGAATGGCAAAGGAACTGAAAGATCATTTAGTAGAACCTTCTTACCTTACAGATAGTGAATCAGGCCTAGGGAAGTTAAGTGAGTTGGCCAATGACACATAGTTTTACATCCGGTAACAGGTTACCCACGCCTGCTTGTCAGGTCTTTGTTTTTCTTCTCCATGTTTTATTCACTTCAAAAGTTTCAACATCTACGAAATTGAGTGTTTTAGTTTCCTTCCTTCCTTCCTTCCTTCCTTCCTTCCTTCCTTCCTTCCTTCCTTCCTTCCTTCCTTCCTCCCTCCCTCCCTCCCTCCCTCCCTCCCTCCCTCCCTCCCTCTCTCCCTCCCTTCCTCCCTCCCTTTCTTTTTTTCTGAGACAAGGTTTCTCTGTAGCCTTGACTGTCCTGGAACTCACTCTGTAGAGTAGAGCTCAAACTCACAGAGATCTGCCTGCCTCAGCCTCCTGAGTGCTAGGATTAAAGGTGCGCACCACCATGGCCAGGCTGTTTTAATTTCTAGTACTTCTTTTCCTTTGCTTTCTATGTGTCTGGTTTTAGGTAACTGAGACTAGCAACAGCAGATATTTTTGTTTTACTTCTTTTTGTCTTAGGATCGCAATTATATGTGGTATGTATTTTTTCTTGGAATATTTGAAAATCTTATTTTTCATCGGACATACCCATAATTAGTAGTTTATGAAACTTTTTATGACAGCTGTTGTGTATGGACAAAGAACTCCTTCTAGAAGCTTTCTGATAATCACTTGTTTATATTTGAGTTTCCTTGGATATTCATTAACTATTTTAAGAAAGGGCAACACTCGTTATTTAGTCTTTTTTTTTTTTTTGGAATGATGTTTCATTTTTTGTTTCTCCATGTTAGAGAATATACAATTTTAAGTTTTATTTTCATGAGTATTTGATATAGTTCTTGGCAAATATTTAGGTTTGTTATTTATCTGTTAAGATTTTCTTTGTGTTGGGTGTTGGTGATGCACTCCTTTAATCCCAGCACTCAGGGAAGCAGAGACAGGTGGATCTCTGTGAGTTCCAGACCAGCTTGGTCTACAGTGTGAGCTCCGGAACAGCAAACAAACAAAAATTTCCTTTGTAAAGTAGAGCAATAGCTTTATTGTAAAGAGTAAAGAAGAGAGCTTCCTACCCACGGAGTCTTAGTTCTCTGCAAACTTCTCTTTAACCTTGCTCCTTCCTCTACGGTCTGTATCCACCTTTTAAAACCTTTCTCTTTTATTGCTTCCTCATTTCTTTTCCTATAAGCCAATTTAAGGTAAGGACAAAGATGTCATTTGAGTTTTAATTATAAAGAATTTTAAATCTCAGTTATTTGCTATCTTTCATTTTAGTATGTTGAGTGACTTACTGTTAACATGCCGTAAGAAACAAAAAAACACCTATGTGAATTTTGGCTATATAGCAGAGATTTTTAATAAGACGGAAGTCTTCTTTCCTTGTTGACCCTTCTGTTAAGCACTGTTCCATGTGCGGCCTCAGCATGTAGTGTGGCTGACCATGCTCGCCCTCTCAGAGCTGCATGCTTTTTCTTCTTTGTATGTGGGGGATATAAACTGCCACATGATTGTGAGGATGAGAACACAAATGTTATTGTAAGGTGTGTATATTTCATAGACATTGAGTTGTCTTTATTTTCGCTTCCATATCATCATCTTAACTGATCCATTAGAACCATTTGTGATGGTAATCTTAAGCAGTTCCCACTAAAACAGGCTTTTGAGAGTATTTGCTCTGTCTTTCTCTGGGGTACTCTTTTATTTGTTGGGGTGTAGCCCTCTTTGCACCTGCTAGGCACGTGCTATCCCAGACCCTAAACCAGCCATTTGGAAGTCCTGAACAAGCGTGGGAGATTGAGACAACTAAGTGTCTCCAGGATTCCTGTCTATGCTCCACTATGGGTTCTTTACCACTGTGTCTCTCAGAAGAGCAGATCCTGGCTGCCCTGCGTGGAATTCCAACACTTGGGAGGTAGTGGGAAGAGGAGTTCAAGGCCAGCCTTGGGTATATAAGATTCTGACTCAGAAAAAACAAATGAGAAGGAAAGGAAAATGTAAATGCTCTCTTTTGTGTGTCAGTTCTCTTCTTCCTGTCTCATTTTTATATAAGCAAACACAAGATTATTTAGCATGGATGCATATTTCATTATCTAATAAAATTTTTTCTTTAGCGAAACAATACATACACTAATAATACACTAAAAGGAAAAAGCTTCTTTTGTTTTGTATGATAATACAAAAGTTGATTTGCCTCAGTCTGACCAGTTAGAAATCCAATGGGCTGTAGTTCATGTATGAGTTGTTCAGTCTTCATGTGAATTGGTTTTGAGACTTTAAAGTTGAGGAGTTGTGTAGATTCCAGATACATACTGCAAGTCCACACACAGCTGCTTATTTGGAAATCTTGGATCAGCTACATTTCCATATGTAGAAATTTTCAGCTTTCAAAAAAAAAATGATAGAGGAGCATATCCTTTTGTTACCCAAGTAACCATGTGGTGGATTGGCTAGGACTCGGCGTGAACCTGGATGTAACTGTGTTATTAAGCAGCCTCGGATTGGTCTCTTAAAACTGAGATTACATACTTAAAACTTCGGGATTTGGGTTTTTGGGCTAAGGAGTAATGGAACGTTATTTGTTTTAAAATGCTAGCTTTTGTTTTCAGTAATTTCCTTTCTTGTTTTTTTGAGCCCCGCCTGGCCTAGAACTCACTGAATAGCAGACTGATCTTAACGATGCAATCTTCCTGTCACAGTTTACCAACACTCCTAGCTTTTAGTAATTCTTTAATGTCTGATTTGTTGGTAGTTGGAGTCACCAGGATGCTGCTGACCCCACTAAAATGTGGGGTGCCCCCTTGAGCCCATTAATCTTTATTTCATAGTCTGTTAATTTAAAGGGAGCCAG